TTATGAATCATAGGCATACAGGAAGGAGAAGAATCACAAGATAATGGCATGGACCAGATCTTCAACAGAATTGTGGAAGAAAATTTCCCAAAATTAAAGATAGACATGCCCATACAAATACAAGAAGCATATAGAACACCAAACAGACAGGACCAGAAAAGAAACTCAAAACTCTCCATCACAGTAAAAACACTAAACGTACAAAACAAAGAGACAATACGGAAAGCTGCAAAAGAGAAACAACAAGTCACATATAAAGGAAAACCCATTAGGATCACAGCTGACTTTTCAGTGCAAACTATGAAAGCCAGAAGAGCCTGGACCAAAGTATTCCCAGTTTTAAAAGACCACAGATGCCAACCCAGATTACTACACCCAGCCAAAATGTCTACTATAGTCGAAGGGGAAAAAGCAAATCTTCCATGACATAAATAGGCTGAAGGAATTCGTGTCCACAAAACCAGCCCTTCAGAGAGTTCTGGAAGCAATAAAAAAGATGAAGAAAGGAATGACTATACTCAAGGGATTGAAGAAAGAAATTCAATGAAAGTATAACTGTGGAAAAGTACAGCTATATCATGAATGTGAACAGAAATAAAAATGACAAGATTTAATACATATCTTTCATTAATAATTTTCATTTTAGTGGACTGAACTCCCCAGTCACAAGACAGACTAGGTGAATGGATTAAAAAACAAAACCCACCGTTTTGTTGTCTGCAAGAAACTCATCTTACTTCGAAGGGCAGCTGGTATTAAGGTGAAAGGATGGAAAAAAATATACCAAGCAAATGGTACTAAGAAAAAAGTAGGCATTGCAATTCTAGCAATTCTAATATTTGACAAAATAGACTTTAAACTAAAGCTAATCAGAAAAGACAAAGAGGGCCACTTCATTCTGATTAAAGGAACAATAAACCAAGAAGATATTAAAATCATGAACATATATTCATAAAACTCTGGTGGACCCAATTTCATAAAAACAATACTACAGGACTTTAAGACCCAGATTAATTCCAACTCATTAACAGTAGGGGACTTCAATACCCCAGTGTCTCCATTTGATAGGTCAACAGGGCAGAGAGTTAACAGAGAGACATCTGAATTAAACAATACCATATATCAAATGGACCTAACAGGCATCTACCGAGTATGCCACCCAAGCACCAAAGGACATACTTTCTACTCAGCACCCCACGGAACCTTCTCCAAAATCAACCATATCCTGGGGCACAAAAGAAACCTCAAAAAATACAAAAAGATTGAAACAATTCCATGTGTTCTATCAGACCACAATACAATAAAGCTTAAAATCAACACCAGAAGAAACCCTAGTTACCACATGAACACATGGAGATTAAACAACACACTCCTGAATGATGAATAGGTCAAAAGAGAAATTAAGAAAGAAATAAAAATACTCCTGGAACTAAAAAGGACAATACAACACAACAAAACCGCTGGGACACACTGAAAGCAGTTCTTAGAGGGAAGTTTACAGATTTAAGTGCCTACATTAAAAAATCAGATCAAACACAAATAAATGACTTAACATTGCAACTCAACACACTTGAAAAGCAACAACAAATGAAACCCAAACCGAGCAGACAAAAAGAAATTACAAAAATCAGGGCAGAAATTAATGAAATAAAAACAAAGAAAACAATACAAAGAATCAATGAATCCAAGAGCTGGTTCTCTGAAAAGATAAACAAGATTGACAGACCACTAGCCCAGTTAACCAAAGGAAAGAAAAAGTACCTCCAATTTTTT